GGGTCTTTACTGAGTGGTTGGTCTATTATTATTTGCACATAGAAATATTGTGTGATACACAACATTAAAGTTCGAATCTTTCTATCTTTGCCGTACTGTGACTATCTAAAATGACAATAGTTTTATACCGGCCCTCATTTATACCCTCAAATTACACTAAGTGTTCAACAATTATTTTTGTCTGTACTCAAAGTCTCATCCCTAGATAGCAATACATCAATTGTAATATTGACAGCAAAATAGTGATTTCATTTAGCATTAAAAGCCCATGTGTTGAAAAATTGTAGCAGTATGACAAATAATGTTTCTTTGAGCTCAGATTAATAACACCACAGCCCAACGCATACGCTTTAAGGTTCGTACAATATAATGGTTTAATTCGAACATTATTACAAAATTAAAGACGCATAAAAATAGCTCAAAACCGCGATTTTAGAAAATTGTGGCAAATTTTGAGTATTTATTCTAAGTTGAATGTAAAAAAATGTTATCATTAATGGAACCAAAACTTATATGTCACGGTCAGCTATGTATTGTCTTTCGGACATAACTAATTCAATTTGGTTATCGATGACCCTCAATGCAAAATTTGACTTAAACATGTAACATGTGGAATGTTGTACCAATATGTTGTCAACATCAACAAGTAACACTGACTAGCAGTTTGAGTTTAAAACTGTTAAACTGGTTTTATCATATGATAACAACCCTTTGTAAGTCAGTGATATAGAAGTTTCATTATTCAATTACCATTTCTATTTGACAAATTTAAGATTTTGACCCTATGGATGATACAGAGAAAATAAGCCTGGCCTCTATCAAAGACTCCCTCCCGTAATAAATGGAGAAGCGCCTGTGCTTTTGTCTATTCCTGTGGTTGACCCACTATCATGCCAAATTAAATTTACGATTGTTCACTGATTGAAAGAAAATGAATGACCCAGCAAGTTCAAGGTTATGAATGATTATCAAACTATCTTTATTGACATCAATTTAAATCGAAAAAAAATCAAAGTAAGTCATCGGTTTTTAGGACGACATAATAGGAAACGGGCAAAACTCAATTAGTCTTACAGTCTTATGTATTCTTATGTTTTTGCGACTTATTACTAGTAAAAGTCGTAGTAATTATATCACATATCTTACATTTTGATACAAATAAAATCATTTTATAATTCCAACCTTTTAAAAGTTAAAAGTATAGATCACAATGGATCATGTGACGTAAGTAATAAGGTTCTTGGAGTCTTTTTCATTCGTCGATTTCATATCTAATATAATAGTTTTTGAATAATCAAGTGGGTATATGTAAGCCATACTACACATCTAAGGTGGCCCTTCTTGACTCGACCTACGTCAGGAGTTCGAGTCAACGGATCACCGAGCTTTGCAGTATAACTGACATATACATATTTAAATTGCCAACAAATTTTTATACACCAATTTTGAATGCATTTTTTGGAGAGATTTTGTTTTCAAGCCAGCATACGTTTATATGCAGAGGACATCGTCAGTCCATTGCTCTTGTGAAAGTTTTCCTGTTTATAAAATGGGATGAAATACGCCTTTGTGCAGTACAATGTTGGTTATTCATAGATAACTTGTATAAACATTTCTAGTTTGACGGTTTTCTCCATAAATGTTAACATTATTTGGAGAATTTAGTTTAAACGAGCAGACTTTCAGTGTTTTTTAGATTTATTACAATGTGTATATATATTCGGGACGATTTAAAGGTTGACATTTTGTGTTGACACCTATCTGTTGGTGAAAACTCTATATCTTATTTGAGTATTTTTAATTGTCTGTGGGTTGTTGTCTCAATGACGTTCACAACACATCAAGGGTTATTCATTCATGTATAGTTCTGTTTCCTGTACTCCATAATCGGTCAATGACAAACGACAATAAAAAAGGGTTATTGAGTATAGATTAATTGTTTTTCCTTCTTTTCAAAATGTGTGCAGAAGCAGCTAGATTTGTCAAAATTATTGAACAAAGTTAAACGGAAATACGTACTATGTTTCATTATTTAACACCCCCTTCCATTTTTGAACTTCATTCGGCGACAAATTTTTAAGACATCTAAACGAGGTTTATGAATCTACATGTACAGTTATTAATATTCCTGCTTAAACACATACTTGGATATGATCCTGTTTAAATCGGTAGCGAAATAGTCACTAGACAGGACAAACATTCAAAAGTTCGTAATACATGTAATACATTTCATAACGCTCACACCATTAAGACACATCAGTTTTTAATTAATCTGATTTATCTTAACACTTACATCTGATTACCAAGGAAAAAAATTATCGGGGACACTGAATTTACATTGTTAAAACTATATAAAAAAAGTTCTCAGTTTTAGGATAGAACCCTTCTTCCGTCCCTAACACTTGTACTACCTTTAATTTATTCCCTATTACGGAACGATGAAGTTTGCACAAAGGTACTAATTGGTCAACTATGTCGTAATTGTAAAGCAAGAGTACATTTGAGCTGTGCAGTATATATCTGGGATAGTAAATGCACACTTTAGCTGTGTACTGTTCAAATTTAAACATAGTAAAAAACAAAGAGATTTGGCTATCTCATGTGTTGATTTGATATGATTGATCTGAGGTTCGCTCTGAATACATTAACATGTTTAACGGGCGGACTATTTTTTTCTTAGAAGTAACATCCCTTGTTAATGCAATATAGAAATACAATATATATTTGTACCATCTTCAACCTATATTTAATTTTATGATTTTATATTTTTTATCAATTTAATAATTAAAATTAAATTATCATAGATAAAAACAAGAAAATTTGAAGAATTTTTAGTTTCGTTAATCACTTAAGGTTATTTGAACTCATCAGTCAAATTGTCAATTTTTTCAACATCAACTTGGTAATTTACCTTCAACTCCTATTACATAAACCATAATGCGATGCATCTTTTTTCGAGGAATAGAAGAAAGAAAGTTAAAACACTGATCTCTTTTAAATTGTTAACTACTCAGAACTGAAAAGATTTAAATACATATGTCGTTTTTATTTCTAAAAACGAAAAACGAATGGACAAATACATACGGATCTTTCACCTATGCAAACTGCGTTTCCAGAAAATATTTGAAGTTTGAATAAAGGTGGGCTAGCAATAATACTTTCATATATTTTTTTACATATTAAAAAGCTTCGTATTCTGTAATTAACCGTGCAAAAGTTTACTGTTTAAGTAGGGGTGTCCGTGACAAGCTATGCAATCCGTGTAAGAGCTCTTTACTACTTGTCTGTTGATGATTTATTTGGATTCGAAAAGATTTCAATTTAATCGTAAGTGATCGTTATCATGGTTATAGGTATAATTTACAACTTTTTTTATAATCTGAGAAAATGGAAGTGTAGAAAATGAGAATAATACTAAATACGATATACTTTAAACTTGGTAGTGACTTTAAAACTTTTCGTTATTATACTTATATCATGTCGTTCAATACAAATTTCACTGGCAACAGGCATTACTTTTTTATTTTATCTTTCAAACCCATCTCATTAGTGTTGCTGCTTTGGTTATCATTACCAATTATTATTGAATCATATGCACACAAATATAAGTACCAGTACGTATTCTATTGTTCAAAGGTAAGCTAAAGTATTGACTTATTGAACAATAAGTTTCTTGTTTCTTTCATCTTTTTTTTCAATGATGAAATATATAAAAGTCAAACAAACGCTTACTGTTTAATCTTTATCAAACTTCTTTTGGCGATGACTTTTAGTGTAACTCCGCACAACGTATATTATTTTCCGATTGATCCTTTTCCTGACCTCTTGATTATTTTTGTTTTATCAACGTGTGGTTTGTTTAATTGTTAGTTCTTCATTGGTCAAAATTCAGTTATGACGTCAAATTGTCCTGACTTTCAAAGATCTTACGACATAATCGAAAATAAAGTGAATATATGAAGAATGCTAAAAGTAAGTCAATTCTAGCATTGTGTTGAATGGGATCAACATTTACAAGTATACACAACTTTTTGCATCTTTGTCAACGGATTACCATTAACACATCTTGTTCCTTTTTTTTTAAAACGATAATCAAAAAACAAAAAAGAACACATAATCGCTATTTTGTGTATTTTGTGTATTTTTCTTTTGATCTTTTTTGGGATAATTTTTCATATAATGCTACACACCAAAGATAGAAAATTACCGCTAGTACCTAAGCCTCGTTAGTAACAGCGTATTCATTCTCAGTAGGGAGGAATAGAAAGTATGACGCCATGAACCTACGTCATTGACGTTGCGTAAGAAAACAGCGATAATCAGATTATCGATGGTCTTTTAATGAGGATATTTTCAGGGCGGTCGATCTTCGATGGTATTGTTGCTGAGAAACACCCTCACAGCTGAAATACCATCAATAATCTATAAATATATGTTTATGTGCTTGTCCTTAATAAGAAATCGAAACAATAGTCACTATATCTTTGCTCTTTAAATTATAAAAACACAAACATCATTTGAGACCAGTACTTTTTTCTTTTACAGCTTACAGTCCCGAGGCTGAGATAAATCGCATTATTCTAGAGAATAAGTGGGAAGCCTGCGCTCTTGTTCTATGCATCTTATGTTGTGATGGATTTGATACAGATTGGCTTAAATTAAATTTAGCGCCAGAGAACAAAAAGGCAAAACTTGAAGACATTGTAAACGAGTTTGGTATAAACTTTAATAGTGAAACGTCAATGAATAGTTTGAAAGATGCCTTTTCATCACTGAATGGTATCTATTTAGAGTGTTTTATGCCTGTGTATACAATTATCAATTTCAAACTTTATCAACAGGTTTCTGTTATCTGTGGCCAGACGTTTACAGAATGTTTTATAAAACATGCCTCTAGTACATTGATTCGTGATCAATTCCTCTTTGAATCTGTCAAAGAAGTACAACCAAAAGATGATTTGATACTACTATCAAAGGACAAAGAAAAAAAGTATTTTGAAAGATTGTTAATTGACTTGAGAGAGTTAAATATAACAAGTACATTCCAAAACAAACAACTAAAATATTTTTCATTTGTGAATAAGTTAATACGATTTTTGGAAGGGACAGAAGAAGCAAAGATAATACTTGAAAACCTGGATAACAGTGGTCGAACAGTTGTAAAAGAAGATTATAAAAACAGTGGCTGGTCGTTTACTACAACATCACTTATAGAATCAGCATCGGGTGGTTACGTTGAAATAGTTCACTTCCTTATTGATACTGTTAAAAGTAATGTCAACCAAACAGACGGAAGAAAGAGATCAGCTTTGTATAAGGCATGTGAAGGAGGAAACACAAATGTTGTGCAACTGTTACTAGAAAAAAATGCAGACGTGTTACTTTGTAACATGTATGGCGAGTCTCCGTTGTATGTGGCATGTAAAAGAAAACATAGAGATATAGTTGATATATTACTACAGAACAATGCTGATGTCTTACAACGTACCAACAGTAAAAAATCTCCATTGTACGCGGCCTGTGCAGGAGGTTGTCACGATATAGTAGAATTGCTATTAAAAAAACATGCCAATGTCAACCAGTGTGATAAAAAGATGGAATCTCCATTATATGTAGCCTGTTTAGGAGGTCATATAGATATAGTAGACAAGTTATTAAGGAAAGCAGCAAATTTCAGTCAGTGTGACAGTGCGGGAGAGTCGCCATTACATGTGGCCTGTGCAGGAGGTTATACAGATATAGTGGAACTGTTATTACAGAAAGATGTAGATGTTAATCAGTGTAATAGCGTAGGAGAGTCTCCATTATACTTGGCCTGTGCACAAAATTATAAAAATATAGTAGTACAGTTATTAAAGAAAGATGCAAATGTTAATCAGTGTGACAGTGCGGGGGAGTCTCCATTACATGTTGCCTGTGCAAGAGGTAATACAGATATTGTGGAAATGTTATTGCAGACATCTGTTGATGTCAATCAGTGTAACAGGTCTGCAGAGTCTCCATTATATGTAGCATGTAGAGGAAATTATAAAGATATAGTAGAAATGCTTTTGACGAAAAAAGCAGATGTCAATCAGTGTGACAGTGAGGATAAGTCTCCATTATATGTGGCCTGTGGAGGAAATTATAAAGATATAGTAAGACTGTTAGTGACGAAAAAAACCGAAATCAATAAGTGTGACAGTGAGGGTAAGTCCCCATTATATATGGCATGTGGGGGAAATTATAAAGAAATAGTAGAACTGTTATTGAAGAAAAAACCCCAAATCAATCAGTGTGACAGTGCGGGTAAATCACCATTATATGTGGCCTGTGGAGGAAATTTTAAAGATATAGTAGAAATGTTGTTAGTGAAAAAAGCAGATGTTCATCAGTGTGATAACAAAGGTAAGTCTCCATTATATCAGGCATGTGAAGGAGGGTATACACATATAGTGAAACTGTTATTGCAGACAAATGTCGATGTCAATAAGTGTGACAGTGAGGGTAAATCTCCATTATATGTGGCCTGTGGAAGAAATTATAAAGATATAGTAGAACTGTTATTGATGAAAAAAGCAAAGGTCAGTCAGTGTGACAGTGAGCGGAAGTCTCCATTATATGTGGCCTGTCGGGCAGGTTATACAGATATAGTGAAACTGTTATTGCAGACAGATGTCGATGTCAATCAGTGTGACAGTGAGGATAAGACTTCATTAGATTTCGCCTCTGGGGAAAATTGTAAAGATATAGTAGAAATTTTATTGATGAAAAAAATAGACGTCAATCAGTTTAACAGTATGGAAGAGTCTCCATTATATGTAGCCTGTGCAGGAGGGCATACAGATATAGTGGAGCTATTATTGCAAAAAGATGCCAATAATAGTAACGGCAATATAACAGGTGCTTCTCCATTGTATGCCGCATGCGCAAGTGGGCATGCAGATATAGTGAAACTGTTACTGCAGAATAATCCGGATGTTGTACATTGCAAACACACAGACAAGTCACCTTTGCATGTAGCTTGTGATTTTGTTTTATTTAAAGATCTTCGTGAATGTCAAGATGAATATGATAGGAGAGTTAAAGAACATATCAACATTGTAGAACTGTTAATTTCATATAATGCAGATGTACACATTTGTAATTCAAAAGGTAAGACACCACTAGATATAGCCAACGACTCAGGATGCGTGGAAATAGTCAAACTTCTTGAGGACAAACTAAAGTAGAATTTTGACAATATAAGAATATTAGTGGTCAATGAATACATGCAGAGCATACATTGTAGATCAACAAGTAATTTCCTGTTGCTTACACAGTGCAATTTCAATACTATGTCTGTACATTAACAATTTTGATTTGTATCGTAGTTAGCATGTACTTTCTATAATTTATGTTAACGGCAGATATTTTAGAGTCTCTGTTTTGAATTTCAAGACCTGAGGCAATTAAGGTAGCATTTGGTATACACAAAATCTATAAATTTTATTTTCCAGAACTTAGTTTAGATTGGTCATGTTGTTTCTTAAATTTAAATCATAGAAAAGGCATTCCACCCATTTATCCAAGCTGCAGATAAGATGAAAAAATTAACACTTTTGAAAGCATTTTAGCGGAACAAGGATAATTATGCACTGAAGATGCTTATCTTAAAATGGCGTATTTTAAATAAAAAAAAAAATAAAAAAATAATAGTTTTCTAATATACTACTCGTATTCTTGCTATAAAAAAATAGTGTAAAGATATTATTTTTGTGTTTGTTTTGTTTGTTAAATCAATAAGATATTCGTAAAACAGTTGTTATCAGAGGATTGAAACCGATAATCTTATTAATTTGAAATTTAAGGTAATGTATGAATTGCATTCCTGCATTACTTTGGATTTTTTCATTTTAAAATGGACGAATCATTTGCTATTATTAATCATCCAACATTTCGCAAAGACAGACTCACATACAACCTTATGACCCCGGCACATTTTTTAAACGTATATCTCCAGTTGTTTACACAGTTTCTTTTCTTCTTGTTCCATTTCTGCTTCTCTTACATTGACGTCTCACCCACATCTAATGTTGAACATACCGCTCAGTGAAAAGGTACGAAGAACTATAACCATTAGGTTATTACACAAAACATAAAAGCAAAACCATTTGATAACATTATATATAAAAATCAAGTTTCGTTTTGAAAAGTGTTACCTTCTCGTAGGAATTAACCAAGGACGCCAAATCACAGCTACATTTAGCGTCTGCGCAATGCTAGGCGGTCTTGTCGTAGAAGTGAGAAGTGAAAAGTACAGGTTCCAGCCCCGGTCGGAGAGGAAGTAAATAATCAAATTTACTCTAACACTGTTAGGTTGATTTTTCTACTCACTTTATAGATATTCCAACGCCTGGTATTTCTTAATTATTAGAAATTTGACGGACAAGGTATAATTAACAGTTGTCGCTTCACATAGGCAGACATATTTTTTTTATAAATTTATAATGATTGGATGCTTCTAAAAATAAAATAGCTTCCTGTCATTATACTGTAGAGATGAGTAGATGATCATTCCTGAGCACTCAAAAATTCGTGAAGTGTGATTAGACGTCCTTGTTTTTGCTTGATTGACGACAGTACACAAAAAAGTAGAACAAAATTTTTTTAAATGATTCTAAGAAAACATAACACTTTATAAATACTATATCGCACAACGAATGACATCCGTCAGTGTCACTACGTAAATGTATATATAAATATGTATATTCAAGAACAAATAAATATTAAATCTATTGATTTTCATGTCATGTTTGCATATGTACTCATGACCCGAAATTGCCAAAGTTATTCAACGTTATGAAATCAAATCTTCCATTTCTTACCAATGTGACAGGATGAAAGAAAAGACCAAAAGGAATAACTTCATTTATAGCCGTCGCAAACCCAGGATTTTGAAAAGGCAATTGACAATGGATATATTTGAAACTGCCGTTTTCAAAATTTGAATCCTTGTATCTACAATGAGTTAATATTCATTGGAAAATACACCGCATCGAGTATCACTACATATTTTTTCTGAAAAATCCTCTTGGTTTGTATCAAATTTAGCTACATAACAAGTGATTAGCAAAGGTTGCAAAATTTGTTCTTTATATTATATGAGGTAGGAATCTAATTGTTTTGTTAAAAATCCACGTTCACATAGCATATGGCACTTTAATATACACATCTATATCTTTTTTGACGAAATATATATCAAGCATAGTAACACACAGGGTCCAGGGCTTCGCTTGCCATCACCCCATATGGAATTTACTGACACGGAATATATCGTATTAGGTCTCTAGCACACAATATAAATAAAATATCTTTCTTTCTATGTTCTTGATGTGTTATGTGTTTGTTTTTCCGTTTTGGGAGAATACAAAAAATCTGATCTGAATTGATGTTGTGGATGACTTTTTTCTTTTCATCATCTGGACGAGATCATATCTCTTTCATAACCAATGTCTCAAACACATGGGGCATTTTCAGTTGTGTATCCCCTCACCTTTTAATACATGTTCTACCAGTGTACTGTCTTGATGATGATATATATATATATATATATATATAAGAAAATTAATAAAAGATAATAACGGTTTCAATTCATCACTTTTACTAACGCTTTCACTGCTTTTACAGATCTTCAGGTAATGTGACTTGTATACATAACTGTTATACAAAACAATTGATTGACGTCGACAATATTGTTAAAATTATTGACACTGACAAAGGCTATTTGTTAAGCCGAAATATTTGCCAACACGATTTTATAACATCATCTTCGTATATTACCATCTTATATTAGTACCGTTGTGCAAATCTTTAGACTCATATGTATATATGTATCTAAACTGAAAACAACGTTCAAACCTATGATTGCGTTGGATAAAAACCGCAATTTTTATACGTGTGCATGCAAAACAAATTTCTTGTTAGAGGGGTCTAAATACAGAACAAACAACATTTTCCAAAAGACCAAAAAAGTGAAAAAGTATATTTTAACAAAACGCATTTGACTAACAGGTCGAACAACAAATGTTCTTAAACCCTGCTGACTGCCATTGGCGATTGCAAAGTAAAAGGATCACCGATGTAATAAATGGATCTTAATTAAAAATTTAATACTAAACAGAAAACAATACACTTGCGGAAAAGATGGTATACCGCAAACAAAAGGTGCAAAGATTTGTGTACACCATATCCGTATTTCGACAAATAATGTCTCTTCAGTGATGTTAGGAATCGAAACGGTATTTGGAAAGCCCAACAATTTACCTCAATATAGGATAGACTCTTGAATTTTGAGGAGTCAAAAATAGGATGAACGGATCATATAAAACCCGAAGGCAAATATAATACAAGCCCAAACGAAAAAATATAAACAAGTCTAAATTGAAAACAACGTTCAAACCTATGATTGCGTTGGATAAAAACCGCAATTTTTATACGTGTGCATGCAAAACAAATTTCTTGGTAGAGGGGTCTAAATACAGCACAAACAACATTTTCCAAAAGACCAAAAACGTGAAAATGTATATTTTAACAAAACGCATTTATTAACAACATCTTCGTATAATATCATCTTATATTAGTATCGTTATGCAAATCTCTAGACTTATATATATATATATATATATATATATATATATATATATATATATATATATATAATTCGTCTAAATAACAGCCCAACAATGTTAGATCTGTAAATTTGCGGAAGCAAATTTTTTGTTCTTCCCTGGCCGGAATTCGAACTCATGCTACTGAGATATCGTGGCACCAAATCGCCTTACACTATGCCCGACGCGCTAGACCACTCGACCATCACGGCTCGACAAAAAATCAAGCTTTCGGTGGACGGTTGTTACCTTTTCCATATAATACGACAAACGAAAGCTATATTTTTATTTAGCCTAGTTAGTCGCCAGGTCTAAGACGCTAGACACAGTGCAGGCGGTGTTGCAACGATGACTCAGATACATGAGTTCCAATCCCGCGGAGTGAAGAACGCAATTTGCAGATCTAACATTGTTGGGCTAAATTTCAAACGAAATATATAAATACATATATATATAAGATGCTTTCTGCCCTTGTCAATCACTCGAAAAGGGATGATTATTTGAATTATACACCACGTGTAAAATAAATATAATTATACACCACGTGTATGAAAAATATCATGGATATGATAACAATTGTTTTTGAGTAAAAGAATTATACCCACCCCTTCATTAATATGTTCAATCCCTAATATTTTATTTCAAAACCCCAAAGGATGACTGGTAAATAAAAATGTGTTTACATTGGTTTACTTCCGACCAATAGTAAACCCATGGACAAAGTAGGGCGCCTTTTTTTTGGCTGTGCGGGATACATATGTACGCAATCACGTTCATTAAGAATTGGGACGTTAAATCCGATGCCTCGGGTGGAGAGAGTGCTAAGCTCTTTGCACGTTAAGAACCCTTGCAACAACTTTTGAGGGGTCCGTAGGTGGCCTGTTGATAGACAAAATGTATGTCCCTATCCAATAAACCCTCATTTTCCAGCGGCAGTCAAGATTATCCCTTGAAATTTGCAATTGGACGTGAAAAAAAAACCAATCAACTAATTACATATTTTAGAAATGACGTATGAAGAACATTAACAGTACAAACATATGTTCCACTGATGAACCACTTTGAAAAGGAAGTTAGTAACACAAAATGAGTAAAAGTTTAAACATTTTGTCTGAATCATTTTTCTTTTGTTGAATTTACACTTACTTGTCAATTTTATGTGTATTTTGTATTGTATAAGAGGAGATAATTGTGTGTGCACAAAACCCCAAAATAATGAAAAAGCCTTGAAAGGAGAATTCTTAAAATAATTCTGCAATATGCCTTATGTACTCGATGCTGGAAAATGAAATAAGCACCAGAGAAGTGGTTATAAGTGTGTTGGATGATGCTGCAAAGGAGGCACGAAGGGAAAATTACGGCCTCTTCTTTGCCAAAGGGGCCCGAGGCCGAGCGCTATCATATCATTGCATAAACTGACCTTATGTTCATAGATAAAAATGCAGAAACACATTCGAAAACTGCCATTTGTTCAACGCAACAAAACATGTAAAATCAGCGGAAGTTGCCAAAACTATTGAAGTTACAAAAAAAGGTTTCAAACTTTAAAAAAATAGTATTCTATTTAATGATTCATCATCTTTAATTTCAACGAAAATTGGGGGACGTTTTCTAATGCTAATTGTACCTTTTCCGTTACTAGTTGGTTATTCTAAGAGACTCTTACTCATTAATGAATGTCTTAGATTGTTACTTACACACACAAATTAGTGTTATAAACACGTTTGTTATAATAATAGATTCACGCAATATGATGTTAGACAAACGTGTACTTTTCCTGAAGATAACTAAGAAGCTAAAATAAAACTTTGGCTTTTTATCTTGAATCTAAGTCGTGGAATTATAAATATTAATTTTGAAATAGTTTGATTTTGATTAGTTGTTCCGTTTGTTGATTATGTTTGTAATAAAACTGTTTATCATCGGGTGTGTTCTTAAAATTATATGAAACTTCCAATTAAAAAAAAATGAAGATGTTTTTGTTATACTTGAATGGCTAAGAATTACTATCCAACAAGTGTACGTGAACTTTCTTGTAAAAGAAAATGCTTTATATTATCAACATCTTCATAAATGTACTACTATTGAATTATTGTCTTCCCGTACACTAATTCATCGATATTTTCCTGTATGCAGTAACCTTAACTACGAGACCTTTCCTTAGAATTTCGGCCATTGCACAGCACAAGTGCGAGTGAAAAAACCGTGCTAAAAATGTAAACAAACATGCACTGGAAGGTAAATAGTAATAACTGCTTCTTAAAGAACAAATTTGATACAACAAATCATTTAACAACTGTTAAGGGAAAAATAAATTAACAAATGGAAACGCATGGAATATAAAAAAAAATATGTCATTGCTCTTTCAATTCACTTATTTGTACCATTCTCCACTGCTCTGTGTTGATTGTTCATCAATGTCATGATCCGGTGAGCTCGAAATATAGTTACCTTGCGGTCAACAATCCCTGAAATATATATTATTTGTCGATAATACGTTAAAGGTTCGTATTAAATATAACAAAAAAAAAAAAAAAACATGCGTACAGGACTTAGTTAAGTATATATATGCATACATTGGTTCAATAATTGGGATAACATTAAAACTACAAGAAACTCATTTCATATACATCTTCACCTGTATGTACGTGTACTTAGAAAACGCGCCTTTACACTTTCCGTTAGCTATTTGTGAATATTATAAACTATATTTTCTTGCTAGAATGGTTTTTAATTTAAAATTTTGCATATAAAACCATAACTTTTTCAAAAATACGTTCTATCCGATTTTGAGGAAATATGTTAATCTTGATTTCAATATAATTTAACAGTTTCATTTTCTTTATTTCCAATGGCTTAGTGATTAGTAATATGCTGCAAATGATAAATAAATATAGTATCTCTAAATAATATTTTCAGATATTATTGAATAATTAAAAAATGCAAAACTACAAAAAAAAAAAACATGGTCAACAATATTCATTACCGTAACGGCAGATTTAAATAGGCAATGATTCAAGACTTTAAATAAAACAGAAGACATGAAATTATCTTTGTGTATGAAAAATTTGTTTTCAGAATATACCCTCATTTCAAAATATTTTGTAAGGACATGCATTTAACTGGGACTTCTACTACGGTATCGGTAGACATAGTTTTATTTTGCTGTCGGCTAGCAAAACATTGCATAGAATTAAGAAATAATTGTTTGTTATATTTCTAACCGATAGGATTATGACCTCGCTTTGTCGGTACTACATTGTATCGAGAAGTGTCGTTGACATTGACAATGATTGATAAATATAATCTTCTGCAGCCCTTTGAGGAAGGTGTCTGAGAATACTTACAAATAAGACGTTACTGTTTGAAATAAAATAATTTGCGATCCTACAATATGCGTGCGTGTTTGTAAATGAAAACCTGTATGCGAATTGGTGAAGTGTAAAAAAGGGATTGTTTAAGTCACTGGTCAAAGGACAGACAAAATAAACAAAGAACAAAACAAATAACAAATAAAAACCTTACTATTTGCGCAATACGGACACGATATAAGTTTAAGAGGCATTTGATCTAATTAGCCTCTGCTAATAATGGAAGCATGATTGGAAACGTTTGCTATTGAACATATATCAACTGTCAATGCAACATGACGATGTTGGAGTTATGTTGATGCGATGACTTAAATTCATACTTTATCTAGTAACTTAAAGTATTAAGAATACGAATGTATTCATTTTTGACAAATAAAGTACGAATGAACTTATTTTCAAGGCAAGTATAGGTCATCGCGTATAATTGCTCCATATCAAATAACAATTTATTCCCTTTCATTGAAAGTCAAGTCAAATATTTCCCGTGTATTTTATGTTGCTCAATTTCAAACTATAATCACAGTATATCTACTTTTAGCGCAAACGCATTAATACACAACATTGGTTGTTCCGCGTTACGCCCTTCTCATTTATACGACCAGGTAAACTTAATTAGAGACAGTAAAACCCACGTTTAACGTAGACCAAGCTTCAAATACAATATGGTTATCTCTTTAATAATGCAAAATAAACAAATCAGTCCATTTCAGTTATCATGTCGGTGTAAAACTTCATAAGACGAACATTCCGTAAAATGATGTTATCGTATTTGGAAACTAAACAAAGAGATGTTATATGTATGCTTCCACCGTCAAATGTAAACACCGGGCGTTTTCAGGCTTCTTGTACACCTCAAAATGTAATAAAATTAGATAATAACATTTGAAGGTGAAAAATATGAGTTTTTTTTATTCATTATAGAATAATATAATATTAATTTTATATGTTTGGTTTGTTTTGTGAGTAAAACGGAACAGCTATAACAGTATCGTGTGTATGGGCTTTCACGGTTGAAAAAATACTGTATTTGTCCTATTTGAATCGAAATAATTCATGGCAGTTATATTCGTTTTTTAACAAGAATTGGCTACATGGCAGCGGTAAAAGTAGCGTACACGCCGCATTTTCAAGAACAAGTTAAAATATAAAACTGTTCCTTTCATAAAAGCCAAGAAAACATCGTCGAAAGTTTCTACCGTATGACTTTTTGACAGACAGTCAGACAGAATGACAGACAGAGTCGAGCGATTACTGGGCCTAATGTCGACCTTTGCGACGCAGGAAAACATTATCTTACTCCCTCTTTTTCATAATTTGTCAAATTGTAAGAATGCGTATAGAAACAGGCTAAATTGCTTTCAATTTCAAAATAGCAATGATCGTTTTTTTTGTTTGTTTATATAACACAAAACAATGATCAATAGTAATCTTATAAAAATAAATAATGATAGGTAACTATTGCTAAAAAATCAACTTTACAAGAAACGAAAATACCGAAACTTAGATATGTACTTTGTCTAGATCTACATGTTTTACTCTCACCATGAACTCTTCAACTCATTCTAACATTGCGGTTACCAACCTACGCTATACAAACGTGTTTTTTTTATTTGGATTTATACGGACATAAGCCCTATGTAAACAATGTACCGTATACTATTTTAAATCTTTGCAAAAACTCGATACAGGAAAACTGTTAAGAATTAAAATAATCGTTTTCTTGGTATTCTCAGTGTGTATATCATAATCATCATACCTGTCAATGTTGCTAATTTTTGTAATGTTGCACATTTGTATCGGTAAACAAAACTTCAATTACATTATCAAATGATTTTTTTTCATATCTAATCATTTCTATTTATTGGTTTTTTAAGTCCTTTGACGGAAAGAGTCGTCAGGTGATAATAACGAAGCTGACTAAACGAAATGTATTTAAATTTTTTATCGATTATCAAACCGTTTAGAAACTGTTATTTTGTATCAAAAATTTGACGGTGCCCGAATCAATTTTATATCGTTCTGCTTATGATGCTATAATAAATCAGATACAAATGTTTAAATGTATAATGCTATTTGTAATTTCCGTTTTCTATGATCATTAGATTGATACGGTGTTCAGTATTGACAATATCATCCTTGTTACTGATCGACTATGGGTTTGACATACATTGTATGTTTCTTTCTGTTGATGAACCATAGCACTGCATTTGCTTCTACCACTGGTACGTGTAATGCTGTTCAAAGGTAAGTACATGTTTAAAACAGTAGATACAAGTCACATGATAGGAAATTTAAAATGTTTTTGGAAATGCTTTTTCATTAATTTTCGTACAGATTGTTTTATGTTTTGTTTTCTGGTTGTATCAATTTATCATTTTATTTTGTTTTATGCTAAAATGGATTTGATCTTTGGTCTAAAAAGTAATTATAATTCTACATTTAAGCCATTGCACATCCTAGAGAGGTAAAGTATTTATGTTTGGCATTTAAACTTTTACAATATCCACGTACCTGCTGTATATCCATGTCATAACACTATAGACATGACCAATGTCGTTGTTAACTACATGTTAAGTGTAGGTATAATTCAAAATAACAATATGGTAAACAAAAAAGGAGTTTAAAAAAGGATGCAAACATAAGTGTGTATACCATGATTTTGTTGTAAATATTAAATTTAACTTGTAGAAAAGTGATTTACATTTTTAAACACAAATAGACGAACTGATATTTTTGCAAATGCCAAAGACGGCCAGTAGCGTTGATAGCCTGTTCAAAGAGTGAGCATGCGACGGACAATGGTCAAATCCAGACAATGCTTTATTCAACAAAACATATATTGTTGACCGTCTGTACAGTTAATATAATTAAATAAGTCATGTTGCTGCAATACACGGACCACTTATCATCGATTGATTCCTTATTCAGTCGTAAATAGTCATACATCATTAGTGGTATTTGATGATGTTTAATTAACAAAAACCTTTAGTTAATAATTTTTTATTCAACTTTACAATTATTCAGAATTAAAGACATTTTCTTTGGACTTTTATGTTGAAAGTTGTGGAGAGGCAGGGATACTTTGAATTTTATTCTATATAAATTATGATTACAGAACAAGAGCAAGAAGTCATTTTATGATATCAACACACGTAAATTCCCGTAGGACGAGCGGTGACATTTTAAAAATCAAATTGTCAATTTAATTTAAATGGCGCAATAATCCAGAAAGCTTTAAAGCATGGAGATAAATATGCTTAGATCTTAACATTTTTCAACGAGCACATCTGAAGAACAGTGCATGAGTTGAAGCGGATCTATGTTAAAACGTTAAAACTGATAAGTCGTTCAATAAGACCATATATCGTTTTATGTTTACCCTGTTTTTTTTTTTAATTATCAAGCCCATATATAATTAGTATACAAACAATGGTTACCTCTGCACCAATGGTGAATTTAAAAGATCAAAAGGTTTATGAGAAATTGAATTTTAAAGAAAGCTGATACAAAGAATAGAAAGGTGTCATTTAATTTGATGATTTACAAAACATTTAAAACTGCAATGTTATGAATATTTATCACGGCACTGCCCAAATTTAAGTGATATTGCTCTGCTTTGTACGATCTGTTCAATCGGATATGAATCTATTATATATTGTTTCTGATTTCCGTTTTGTTTCAAATTAAACGATAACTGCACGTTATATTGGCAATAATTTCCTGGTGGCTGATTGATTATGGGGATTATATATATGTACATTTTTATATTTGTTGCTGAATAAATAAAAAAAAAATGCGAAACAAACCTATTGTGCCCAAATTCATCATTGATTCGTGTAATATTTTTCAAATGTTTTACACGTTTTAAACAGTACACACATTAAGCATTTGTCGGTAAAGATAAATGTTTTATAAACTGTTTTTTTTATTCAATTATGATGCATCCAGATTGTGTTCTTAGTTTTGAAAAATTATCCACATTTTTTGTAATTTTTAGTGATTTGATTTTTTTGGCATTAGAAATTATTGAGTATATGTGTAAATGAGAATCAATTTCGTAACCCCGCATACATGAATTACCAGATCGTAAAACTTAACATCCATTTTTATACCCGAGTATATACCCGGCTGTTGCAAAATACCAGTATTTGCCAAAGGAAATTCCCAAAATAATTCAAGCTTAAAAAAACAAGATGAACTTTGGATTTGAAAACCATAGTAATATTGATTTGTTTAGTATAAACATTCAATAATACAATAAGCAGCGTACATGTATTTTTAAATCGTGTTTATTCATTCCAGAATTTCCAACGTATGGTATGCATTATACAAATATTGAAAATCCTTGTCATTGCTGAATAGCTTTGGTCGTTTTAAGTAGTAATTATGAACACTTTGATCACCAACTTTACCAAGTTTTTTTTTACCTTCTGACACCAGTTAGATACTGCTACCGATAGAGTACTAATGCGCTAAATTGTCTTCAACTCCTTATCTAGTTGTTTTTTGTTTGTTGTTTTTTTTGATAGTATGATTCATAAAATACCTTTCTACTGTTTTGGCATTGCCACACATCCTGATTTTCTATAACTGTTTGTGAAGACTTCCATTACATTTGTTAGGATGTGTACTAGTTGAAATTTTGAATCGGCAAAAAAAAATGTTTTTATGAGTTTTTATTTGACTTTGACCTGAAACACATCACACATCTATTTTTTTTTTTAAACTAAACCTCTACTCCAGTCAAATCATGTACTTCGGTACTGACATGATTTATAACAAGCCTTCTAAAATTGTCCGTGAATAAATTTTGAATTATAAAGAAACTTAGGTTTCAACTCCCTCAGGCAAAGTTGACCTTAGATGTTTCAAATTAAAAGATAACTGCACGTTGAATTGGCATTAATTTCCTAGTGGCTGATTATGATGATTATATATAGTTACATATATATCTGTTGCTGAATAATGCCTTGGGTAAGGCATACTAAGAATATACGCATAAATAATTTAGGTTCGGTGTATTAAAAGTGAAGGCATATTTCTGATCTGAAGAACGCGCCCGATAGAGGTTTGTGGTATTTATTTTTTACATAAATTAGGCCGTTAGTTTTCTTGTTTGACTTGTTTTACATTTGTCATTTTGGAGCCTTTAAAGCTGACTACGCCGCTGTGCTTTTGTTATTGTTAAAGGCCGTATGGTGATCTATGGTTTTTAAGTTTTGTGTCATTTGGTCTCTTGTTGAAATTTGTCTCATTAGCAATCAAACCACATCTTCTTTTTATATTGGTTATTTTTAGGTGTATTTTTTGTCATATAGCTTTTCAACTGTTTCGGTCCTTGAACTACCTCAGCTTTTAAATATTCGGCTTTAAGCGTTCCTGATGAAGGTAAATCCAGAAAAGCGATTCGGACGCATGACATTTTTAAACGTGTTGTCTTCATTTTTCACATGAACCAACTCTGTAACAATGTCTCAGGTTAGGAAACGGCTGAGCACTCGCAAAAATGTTTAACATAGCTTCATTCTTAATATGCCTAACCCAAGATATGTGACTATTACATGTATTTAGTTGTCTGCTGTATACAAACACATTTTATGTAGCATTATTTAGTTTTCGGTTTTTAATCTCTAAATTTAACTAAATTTAACAGTATATTATCAACTATTTTATTGAGAAGGTGACTTCGATTTCAGATCTGAAGAACGCATGATAGAGGTTTATGTTCTAAAGTATATTCGAACAAAGTTTTAAGTTTTAGCGAGAAAAGAACGATTTCTATCCTTTAATAAAAAAACGACATGACAACGACAGTTGTACAGATATGTCAAGGTATAATCAGTATACAATTTAGCCACATAATTCCCTGTGAAGATGCTTGAATAAAAATTCAATAATTGAGAAGTTATAACATACAATATATGTTCATTTTGCATAAGAAGTATGCCCAAAAACTGATTTGAATTAAAAAAAAAACCAATTATAAAGTTGGGTTTTCTTTCAAAATTATTTACTGTGTTTTAAAAATATATCAGGACCACCATTGTCATTAAAACTGTCACTTTTGTTTAAATTGCAGCGCTTTATCTGGTGGAAAACTAATCTACTTCCATGCAACATTTTGCTGTGATAATTTTGAGAAAGTAGAAGGGGTTTGCAAAGGTAAAGCTGTTTGCCCTGTTATTTATCTTACATGGATTTTACAGTTCCACGTACTAATCACATTCTATCAGTTATTTCTTCAGTATTATCGATGGTTGCAGTACTGTTAATGTGTATTTAATAATTCAAAATGTTATGTAATATATATATATATATTTTTGTTTCAAATACCTTATTTGTTTTTTTCTCTCTTGTGTGTGTGTTCATAAAATACACCGATATCAAAGCAATGTCTACTTAGCTTCTACTGTCCATACTAGGACTTGCTGCCATTTTGTTATAAACTACAAACGTATAAATTATACTTTTTTTTATCTTTCCATTGCAGCATGTAATACCGGGTTTATTTCTCAGCAAGGAGGAATGTGTTATCCTTGTCCAAGTCCGACATACGGATATCGATGTGCAAGTGTGTGTCGATGCAAAGGAAGTCAACGGTATTTACAAAACATAATTTATAATATTATATTCAAATAAAAACTATTTACAAAACTTTAAATTTTTGGAATTACTAAGGATTATCTACCCCAGGAATAGATTACCTTAGCTGTATTTGGAAAATCTTAAGGAATTTTGGGTTATCAGCGTTCTTCAACTGCGTCACTGACGTGTCTTTTGTAGACGAAACACACGCCTTGAAGTCAATCATGGTATATATGATGAGTTGTTTCCCAAACTGATCTCGACATTTGCACACACGTATTGTGATTTAATTGCATATCATAAGAATGATAAGTTTTCCAGTCCAAGAATATCTTAGAAGAAACAAGCATATGATGACAACACGTACACTATGAATATTCACAATCACCGGCCAAGTCATATTCAAATTCATTACTTCTGTTCCGTAAATAATGTGTATGGTGAATTTGTAGCCTAAAATGTAATTAACTAATGATATTAAATTACCATTTATGGAAGGTTTAAGAGGTAAATGGGAAATAAGAAACATTAAAGAATGTGGTTAATTTTACTATTTATTCCTTTTATCTACATTATGCCTTGCAGTTTGTCAATATTGAATATGCATACGTATTGTTCTTATTCATGTTACTCGAAGCAACGGAAACATCTAACACTAAAATGTCTCATGTCATTTCTTACGTTTCAAATGTTAATTTGAATTGTCCACAGATGCCACAACGTTGATGGATGTACAGATTTGAGGGACAACCCAAGCACATCCGAGAGGTTGGAAACAACAATTTCTAGAAAACAAGGTGATTTTAGTAAAAGTGTTTCTATATGGAGCCCATTCAACGAGCTTTATTAGCACCAATCTTCGATTGTCTTCAGGTTTTGTTTTAACTTTTCTTTGCGTTAATAATGCGCCGGGGGTACCTTGTGTATTTGAGTCCAATCTACAAAGAAACAAGAATAGTCAGCATTCAGAAAATTATAAATTGCAAATTATAATATCTTGGGTTAACTTAACATATATTACTACAAGGATGAACACTTATCGTCAGAAATTTCGTTCCTTGTGTGAAGAGACCCTTTAAAATTTATCTTTCGTTTGTTTTTCTTAAACTTCCAAACATTCCGTTTAACGAAATTTTAGAACTACTCAGAATAATTTCAACTTTCCTATTGAATCTTTTGTTTCTATTCTTCAACATGTTCAGGTCCTTACACATTTGTGATATATTTTACTCCTTCAATCACTTACCTGTAACTAGTACTTGCATTTTGTTTTTCACAAAGTATCATTGAAGTAGGTACATAAGATTATCATGCACTGTACAAATGTTGAAACCATTGGGTAATTTTTGTAATTAGTAAAAAATAAGGTATAGGTCACATGTCGAGTTATTGGGAACATATGAACTTTATCTGTTGTCGATACTGATCAGACACTGCTGAATATTTTAATAATGTGTTGAAACATTATTTGTTATGACATTGCACATCTACAATTTGTTTGATTTCAAAACGAAACGTGACCTTTAAACAAAAACAAATGTGATATGAACTGTATTTTGGATTAACACATTAACGCAGGGTATAAAAGATATCTGAGATCTCTTTATTGCACGTACTAAAAATATGACTTGAAAATTGTATTATGCTAGTATGTAAATAATCAATGTGATGATAATCTTTTGTCGTACCGCTGCGTCATCAAAACCTCAAAAAAAATTTGCATTGAAGAAAATCAAAGGCAATTTTCTGGACTTGTTAGAAATTTGATAATAAGGCAACGAGGTCATTTGCATTCAAATTTATCAAATGATTGATATTGGAATGCGGATATGACAATTTGTCATTGTGGTACTTTCATGTTTTAAAGTCGGTTATTCCAATAGCATGAATAAAAAAAAAAATAAAACAGAAAGAAATTGTAAAATGCAAAATTGTGAAAAAAACACTAATGCAAGTGGTGTAAAATGAGCAAACGTGTTAATCAGCTATAAAAGGCCCCAAAATGACAAATGTAAGACAATTTAACTAGGAAAACAAACGGCCTTGTATATGCACAAAATAATTAAAGAAAAACGAATATGAACTACAGTAACATGCGACAACCACTGAATTACATGTTCCTGACTTTAGACATGCAAATAAATAATGTGGCGGGGATAAACTAGTTTGAAGGCGACAACTCTCCTCCTTACCTGGGACACTGGTGTAACAGTACAACATAAGAACAGATTAAAAAAATCAGTTGAAAAAGGCGTAACTCATCAGATGGATACAAAGCAGAAGTATACATAACAAAAACAAAGAGTTGAAGTGGCAGGGTATTTATACATCCCTACAGAAACGACATGAAGTACAGATCTGAGAGTACTAGCCTTTATTGACAGCTAATTCAAAGCCAATAACACACTAATTAAAGACTAAAATCACTTTACATGTTAATAAAGAAAGTTTTATGAAAGTGTTTTATTCATTTACGATAAATATATAAATCAATCTCATTGTTTATCGAATTGGCTTTTATACAAGTATATAATGAAAATTATAACCGATATTCGACCAATAATCAATGCTATTGTTATTTACAATGTTTCCGATTTTTCACATACAATTTAGGTTTGTGATTCTCACAAATTATCTATTTATAGTAAGGAATTGTATGCATCAGCGTCAGTTCAAGTTCAGATGACGTTCAGACAAAAGTTAGTTATTATTTGATTTCTTCAATGAACTAACACTTGATCAATTTCGATTTCTATACGTCGCTCTCCTGGTTTTATAATAACTTGGACATTTGAAAGCCAGAGATGTATAGCTACATTTAAAAGCTTTGAAAAGGAGCTAAATGACAAAAGATGACTGAAAAAGTGTAACTTGATTCGCGTGGAATTAACTATGACAAAGGAATTGGAGGATATGAATTATTTCTATATCGAAGCACTCACTACGTAACTGTTAATACACTCGGGTTCTTATAATCTAGTTTTGCTCATTTCAATGCGCTTAATCAATCAAATGTAAAACAAACGCATAATATATCTGTTGTGCTCACTATAGAGTATTTGTTTGGTATGATTATGTGTAGTTACACTGTGTTTTTATTGCATTTCAGGAAGCAGTCAAACAGCACCTGTAGTCACAACAGAAGCATTACCTCTTACATCTTGGTTGATAATATCTCCGCGGAAAGAAGAAGGTTTAGGTGAATTTTCAATTTTTTATCGAAATGTTTTATTTGTTCCATCAAAAAAAGCTAATTCATAGCCTCATGTATGTTTATATTTCAATATCTTCTGCTTGCAAAAAGTCTGTATGTAGGAATCTTGTATTGGTCAGTTGCGGTTGGTCCAACTGAGTGTATGGAAATTAAATTTAACAATTAAAGATCAATATTCAAAAATAGCTAAATACTTATTTGGATTGGTGAAATCAATTACTAGTTATCAATAACAAATTATTGATATCTATGAATATTTAAAACGCACAAATTTATCAGCGCACAGCGTTCGCTGTACGGTCAAGCATAGTTGAAATTCATTTCATCAGTATGTTTTAGTTATAACGTATTTAACTGGTCTATGTGTTCCATTAACTTGAACGTGTAATCTTTTTAAATGCATTGCGGAGACTGGCTAATGTGTTACATTACCTGGACTTTGCAATATTTTCAAAACACTTTCGGAGACAAATGTTTTTGTTTTGATCCTTTTGTATTGTATAATTAACGTATTTATTTTTGTTCACTGTTATACTAAAAAAACATTTTATTTGTGTCTTTAAAAACATATGAATCAAATGAATATGTTACATATTTATGTTAATCTGTAGTGATCTGTTTTTGGACTTGTCGAAGTTTTAACAGATGCTCAAATCAAACATTCTTCAATTCTTGGTGTTATTATATACCAGGTGTTATATAATAGAGTATGGCAAAATGTAAAGACACCCAAACTAATTCAAATCAAAAGAAATAATAAAAAGATACAAACTTTGTTTGTAAAAGTTCAGGGGACAAAATGTAAGATGCTATCGACATTGTAGTAAAATTAAAGTTGTAAAAACATGATTATGTTATTTAGAATAGAAATTACATTTCATTGTGCAAAACATGCTCATCCGTTACTGATACATTTGCTTAATTGAGAGACTTTTTTTCAGAATGCGTTTCAAGTAAGCATTCAAATAGTTGTGCAAACCTATACAAAATTAGTCCATTGAAATACTAAACGGATGATATGGTCCACAAAATTCCTAATATAGAAAAAAAAATAGTAGTTTTTTATGTAAATGTGGTTGAAAAGGATCATTTAGACATACTCCGGACGCTTGATGAAATAAGAACTATTTTTGATCTTGTTATTATGTCAAATTGATGTTAAATAACACTTACGGTACCAATTATTCTGCACCAGATGCACATTTCGACAAGTGGTGTTTCGTCAGTGATGCACGATGTGACAAAATTTGAAAATCAAAAATTAACAAACAAAAAAAAAAAAGGAGGCAAAACCTGAGAAAATCAGAACTTGGCATGATGGAGATACATTCAATAATTTAAAATACTACCCAAAAGAGCAAATATCAATAAATCAATATCCGTATTTTTATATCAGTACCGAAGTACTGGTTATAAGTGTGTGATAATGTCGGTGACGTTCAATTTACCATATGCGAAATTGACCTTTTGTTTTTTATCAAAAATGCAAATTGAACACATTAAATTGGTAAAAAGTATATACATGATACATAAGCCAAAACCTTCCCCATTAAACACTTCAACATATCATAGAATTATATTTGTTGTATTGGTTGCGAATATGTTTTGCTCATACTTAAATGTAAATATTAATGTTTTATAAAGAGTGTCATTTGAGGTTTGCACTGAATTTTAATGTGTGAAGACATAATACCAACATGGCATACAATACATAAAGCTATTGTTCTGAAGATAGCATGTGGTAAATTTTAAATATTTCTTATTTTAGAATTAAAGAGGTCAAACAATGGCTTTACTATCTCCATTAACACCCTTAATTTCCCTCCACTTTCACAACGTACAAAATGGTCATGTTGTTTTTCTTTTCTTAATCTAAAATTAAAGATTAATCGTAAATATATGGTGACTTTTACGTTCAGTGGCCAATATATCACTTTTATCAAAAACAAACTTTCAACGTAACGTGTATCTAACATGTCCCATTTAACAAGATATGAAACCCGTATTTCCTGTGGCAATACCATTGAACCAAGAAACAAAACATGACACATATATATATATATATATATGCTACGTTTTATGTTTTATTCAATCCATACTTTGGGAAAGCTCTTATCACACAATATACAAAACAAATACAAGAAAACAGTTTGAATATATGTATGACTATTTCTTAGTTTAATTCTTATATATGTGTTTTATATCACGTGCATTTGTTTAGTTGTTTAAGCAATTTATTATTCTCTTGTAGGTTTAATAAATACAGAAATTTTCATTTATTCCTTATGTGGAGTCAGCACTTTTCTTATTCTCAGTTTCAGTATCGTATGCCTGTGTGTTTACAAAAAATCTCAAAAAGCAAACGTTAATCAACATTTTGAAAACCAACATACAGATGGTAATAACCGTCAAGCTGACATAGACGTTGACCTCGAAATAAGTCAAAACATTTCAGCAGAAAAAGAAACAGGCCATGAATACGAAGAAATTGACGAGCGAAAGATGTCTGATTTCTCCATAATATCATCTTTAGAACAAGGAGATTTAAGAGATAATGACAATTCTAGCGAATCATCCGATGGTATTAGGTTACCGAATGATGGTTATCTAAATCCTTATCAGCCGTTACAATCTACACTGCAGCAGTCGGAAGACAGTCATAGTGAATCTGATGAATATAAACATTCCTCTAAAGAAAACAGGGCGTACGCTAATCTTTATCAATCACTTAAATGTAATAGAGAAGAAAAAATAAGGTTATATTCTAGATGTCATAGCGCACAGTATCTACAGCTCGTAGATGGACCAATACAAAACAAAAATGATCCAAATATCAAGGAAAATAGTAAACGACATGTAAAAACTTTGTAGTAAACATAAAGCAAACGAAGGTCGATTTTAATTGTACGTATCAATAACAATGCGCGAAGTTGACATACACATTAGATTTAAGAAAAATAAAAACGATAAAAATTAAGAAAGAAGGGGTAATGGTATTTAGTATTCCGTAAGATAAACAACCTTTAAAATTCAAAGGCATAACAACTGCATAATAACTATATATGGTGTATATCATAAAATACATACGATGTCAGATCGATTCTTGACATTTTTTGGTATGCCTATTTACTGCTATATTTTGTGAAATAAGTATATAACATTTTGACACCGTTTTTACGGCTTTTATTTACCATTGTTACCATCGAGCACATTTTCATCTTGCTAATTTAACTATAACAATATGTAGTACGAATTATGAAAATTTGTTTATTTTCTATTGATAATTTTAGTTCATATTAACGCGATATATCATTTCATTGAATAATGCATATAGTTTTTGGCTGACGTAAAACTATGTGTGTTGATATTAGTTCGTAAATGTGCTGTTGTGAAACGCCTTCTAACTGAAACTATGGGGGTGTTTGCCTTTCTAAAGACATCATTTTAAATATTTATATCTAATTAAAAACCTTTTATGTATGTGTTGTACTTGTATGAGTTAACTTTGTTTTTTGTACAGTAAAAAAAATGTGAATAATCTTGAAATTTACAATATACTATGTATGTACTAGTTTTTGTGGTTTATTTTATTCCACGAATTTCGCGGTAGGTATATTTTATGTGAAAATAGATACATGCAAATGCAATTGAAGGTAAAGTCAAAGACCAAACATTGATGTTATATCACAGGAATTTACTTCTGTACAATCATGTGTACCTCTATTGAACTGTGATTCTTTTAAAATAGCGCCTGTAATCCAAACACAAAAAGGGTAATATAGCATGATGTAAGCCAAATATGACAGCTTAATTGCAAAACTAGCATCTTAACAGAAAATTGGACCGTTATTGTTATCTTAAAATCCGATAGTATTTCTAACTAATGTTTTGAAGATTTAGTTATTACTTTCCTTTGTATGGTTTTACTTTGATAATCAGCTGCTACTCATATAAAGTCGTATTCTGTTATGAAAAAGGTAAATGTGCTAGATCTACCTTTTGGAAAAGTGATGAGATGATTAAATCTCTTACTGTTCTCCTTGACATCATTTGTGTACATTTCGACAGTGGGCGACTTGAAGGAATTATCAGAAGTGTTCCTGTATTATTATAAATCACAGTTTATTGCCAAACTAAACTCCCTTATAAAAATATTACGTTTGATGGATTTGCTTGTGCTGTTCCAGGTCAGGCGTGGTTTTGGCGCTGCAAAATGTCCAACCCCGTCTTTTTCTGTATGTGCTGGTTCAATGTCAGGAACTTGTAGTTTGTATATGCTAATAATAGTTGGGTTTTTTTATTTATTGTTTTGTACAGACTGTTCCTGTGTTGTTCTGTTGCACCACTGTTTATGTTTAATGTTTATGTTTAAGGGGAGAATATTTAACCCAGATATATTATGTATGTGTCTGTCCCAAGAAATTATCAGGATCCTGTAAATCATTGGTTGTCGTTTGTTGCTGTATATCATATTTGAATTTCGTTTTTTTGTTATGTACATAAATAAACCTGTAGTTTCCCTCATTTTGAAATATTTAACAGTTGTCATTGTGGGGCCTTTAACATGTTTAATAGCTTGCAATTCGGTTAAGGTTTGTCTCATAGTTGAATGTCGTTCGGTGACCTATATTTGATTAATTCTTATGTCTCTAGCTGAGAGTTGTCTAATTGACAAAATTAGGCCAATTCTTCTTATTTCTATATTTGAATAATTTAATTCATTGATGTTTGTTTTGATATTTTCAAAAATATCGCGAAATTATATACAATCAAATTAATTGACAACACCAAACTCGCGCAAAATATAAGGAAGGAAACTAGTACAGTGTATTACTAATTAATACTATTGTATTTGTTGGGTTTTTTTTTTTTGCGAGTACTTATTTTCACGAATTTAGAATTGCCAATAATTTTGCATGTTTTCAATGTTGCGGTATGTTCGAAAATACCAAAGCATACATATGACTTATATCAATGTACTAAAATGCTCATTAGCATGCTTTACTTTGTATATATTTGTTTATCAATTATATGAAGAACAAACAAAGATTATCAATTCATCAAAATTGTTGTCTTCTCGATCGTGGTCATTATCGAAGTAAGTTGTAACTTACACAACAAATCTTTAATATTTGACTAGGGCATTTATTTATGACCTTTTATCGTGAATTGGTATTTCTCTCGCCTTCGACGGGAGTCGCAGGATGCAAAACATAGTGATTACTATCAGGCGGCGGCGGATTTGGGAATCTTTTTCAGAAGGTGGAAGACCTGGATCCTTCATACATTGTATGCAGATCATTATGTTACCAAGTTAAAATGTTTGGTGCGTGTGAATCGTAGTTTATGGCCAAACTAAACTCCCTCATAAAACATTTATCTTTTAAACGTTCAACATTAAATCAATGGTCAGTAAAGCAGTCGAGACATTTCAGCGTTCACACTCAAATCTGTATGGATCAATGGTGTGTTTTAACAGTGACCCAGTTTAGCGTAGACAATGTGAACAAACATATTCAGTTATCAATTCCAGTGATATTTATCCAATATATTTGAATTGCAGGTAAGCTGCATTTGTAATGGCGTGTATTTATTTTTGCGAAAATATACAGATATACACACCATAGAGTTCGTGAAAATTAATACACCGCCACAAAAGTACATAATTATACAGTATGCATGATAACCTCGCTGTTGTTCACGCAACTGGAGAACTTGCAGGCTGTACGGGTTAGTCAAATTAACATTTCAAATAATATGCGTGCAGCGGAGGTGACAACCCATACATCCATCTTGGTTGTGGTATATCAGGTAACAAATATATCAGGTGGCCTGTTAACATAAACTGCTACATCCCATGGAAACATTGACTTAATGGTACACAATTTCATGTGTAAGAGTCGTCAGTTGATGGTTAATCGTGATGCAAATTTTGGTCAAAAGGTGGTTGTGTCGCAGCAAAAACCATTGTACAAGTTTCCCAATATGATATTGATATGCTGGTTCAGTCTTTGATGTAAGTGGATTCACAGTTTAAGTGTCGTCACAGTTAAATGTTGTGTTTTTCCTTTTTAAAATGTTTATTTCTATTTTATCATGTATATTCGAGTTCTATTTACCATGTTTACAGATAATATGCTAAAATAGTAGCAACCTTGAACTAAATGATACCACATTTACCGTTATATCTGCATCATATCTTGACTACCATCTAAACATTGACCACTGATAGAAAAATTACGCCGCTTGGATGAGTTCAGCTTTCCCATTATGAACTTTTAATATCTGCATATCATCATTCTATTATTGAGTGTGACATCCTTAAACAATCAAATTTCTTCACCTTTCGAATAATTTTTTACTCTCCTTACGACCAAATTGCCAAAAAACACTAACTAGAATCACTGACTTTACAAATTTAGGGACAAGCATGTATACATGTAACGTAGAACATGTATAAAGTTCCGAATCCAAGTTATTCTCTAACAAATCTAATGTATTTTTTCAGGATATACATTTCTTGATGTATACTGCACTTTTCATTCAAAATAACAATACAATTCAGATCATATAAAAAAGTTTTTGGTTTTGAATACTGATTGCTTTAAGTCTTTTACTTGTGTTTATTGGTTTTTGTCACATGCTTTTACATGCGTAAACCTTTTCTGTGTGGGTGTGTTTGGTACTGAATGCTCTTCAACTTCGTACTTTATTTGGCCTTTTTAACATTTGTTTGATTCGAGCGTCACTGATGAGTCTTTTGTAGACGAAACGCGCGTCTGGCGCAAATATAAAATTTCAATCCTGGTATCTACGATGAGTTTATTGTACAATTGCTGTTACAGCAATATTTGCATACAAGATGTAGGTTCATCGAATTCTTTGTTGTATTTTCCTATACCGTGTTGATTTCAAGTTAATATGCCAAATATATGTTTCCATACTTTCAAAAATAATAAAATATCAATGTCAATCTATTATCGGTTCCATATAGTAAGGGGTCATTTAAAAACGCAAAAATATCGCAAAACAACACATATAAAACTAACGACAGACTTATAAAACCTTACTATCAGCCGAAAATCAACGAAGGTGCTTTGAAAGGGTACGTTATAATGGTGCGTGTTGCTCATTTGAAGAAAAAACCATTAAAAACTAAATTTGACTTTTGAATTGATGGTTTCATCAGCTTTGCAACTTTTGTATTCGGTTTTTAATTTTCCAATATTGTTACCTTGTGCAACACAGAGGATAAACAATATTTAATAAAGTTGGTTCCGTTATAGATAAAAATCTCAACCATATACGACGATAATATATGGAAAACAAATGCGGAAATACAGACTCCCAACTAGGAGCAGGCACATAAAGAAGGAATATGACCTTACTATATATACGTGAACGATTAATGCAAGACTATGGGAACAACTTTTACTTGGATCCTGTTTGAATTAACAGGCCATTACTGAACACAAATTAAAAAAAAACAACTTACAAATGACACAAAGTTCTGAAGTACAAATTAAAATGCATTATCTTTGGCTTAAGGTCACATGTATTGCTTTTTTGTATCGTTTTATTAGTTTGGAGGCAATCTATGCCAACAAAAAAAAAAATCGGATGTGTCCTTAATATTGTTCACGTTGATAAACGTCCAGAATTTTCAAAGTGGTTCAACTAATGTCAGCATGATTGTACTTAGAAAACTCGGGTATCGTACGATGAAAAAAATCGGATAAGAATCATAAGTCTGAAAGTCGTGATTTATAAAAAGTATACGTACAACATACGCAACCGATTTCAGCATTTTTGCTTTTAATTTGTTTTTCAAAATCTTAACTTAGTAATCATCCAGTATTGAAACCCTCAATCAAAACGAATATAATATGAATTCAGCAGCGTTTACATAGAAGAATCATTACAATTTTACAAACAGTGTGGCCATTTTTGCTGCCTCAATTTATGGACAGTTTCAAATAACTCACAAGGTTCAAGATACTTTTTTCCGGATTTTGTTTCATAGCCACTCGAAGTAATAATATGATTCTGCTAACACATTTAAACGAATCGGAACACAAATGAGGATTGATTGTAAAATATCTTCCACACATGATTACTGTCGCTTGATTTATTGTAGTTATTTAATTCAGGTTGAATACTCCTATTGATATTTTAATATGGTTGAGGTGTGTAATTTGTAGTTCACTATTATTCTTTAATATATGCAATACTCTGTACACTTACACTTCACACTATAACATGAGTTTTAAAAGATGACGCTTCAACAGGTTAGCAAACCTTTTTTCATTAGAAAATATTAAAAAGGGCGACATTTACAACAAATAAAAAAAATCATGCATCTAAGACTAAATTATCAATCCGTACACATCCAACATCCAATGGATTTAGTGTAAAGACGTCATAAACAGT